TTATGTGTTTTATTCTCTGAACTTGTTGGATCAGAAAAAATATATTAGAAAACAATTAGCATTGCATTGGTTAAATTTTTAATTCAAATTTGTCTTATTCTTTTTGTTTGCTTTTCCTTTTTTTTTTTTTAACTCCTATCATTAGATTCTTTTCTTAATTTAAATTTGTATGTATCTATCGTGTTCACGTATATGAGATAAATACCACATTGTATAGTTAATTAAACCATCGGTAATCTTATCCTAATCTCGTTCGTGTTAAAACGTCTCAAGAGATGTATAAACAGTTAATGATATTCTGATATTATCATGCTCGAATATTTCGAATCCATGGGGTCGATTTATCTCTAGTGGGTTTAAAGTGTATAGAATATACACACATATATATATATATACATGTGTTGAATCGTGAATGCTGATAAAGGAAACGATACGAGTCTTGTTATTATCTACTTGTTCATTTTGGAAATGAATATTACCTATAATGTAGACAAAAAAAAATATTAGATTTAATCTTAGATATCAAAAACCCCCATTGCTCTTCGATAATAATAATAAGAATAAAAAAGTTTGCTTAACATACAAATCGAATTCCTAATCCTAAAATTCTTTATGTTAAACAATATTACCATATTAAATCAAGAACAATTGTTAACATATAACACAAACTTAAGAGTCAAAATCTTAACAGGTCTTCTTCGTAATGTTCGATTAATTGAATCGAAATTTGATTCCTAACTATTCAGCTTTAAATTGTACGACAGTTAGAACAGGGTTTCTATATATATGTATGTATGTGTTTTGGGTTTGCAAAGGAACCGTGCAGCTATGTTTTCAGTTTAGTCGAGTAGGAGGTATTTGCAATTAACGTCCGTTTGCAGAACGATCAAAGGAAATTAGTTCGATATCGTGCGTACCCCTCTAATTTGCCATCTCAATTAGTTACCAATCGTGGTAGAGGTACATAACCAATCTACCTATCTATCTACCTACCTACCTACCTACCTACCTACCTACCTAATTACCTAACTAGTTAGACATGTATTAAGATTCAATACGGAATCAACAACTTTCCATATACCTTACTTATGATTCGCTTTAACCATACAAGGTTAGTTGCTTTTCAATAGTTTTCCCCCCTAATTCACCTAGATACATACAAATTTCATCAAAGTTCATTCTATCCTTAAGATTGAAAACTAATATTTTAACAATTGGAATAATCACGTCCGAATTGCTTATCATAATCATTGATAATGATCAATAGGGAGTGGTAACGTGTTCTTCTTAGGTGTTAAAGTGGGTGTTTTATAGTGGAAGGGGTAGTTTCCTGAGAAATGGTAGTCTCTGAGATAAAGTTACTCCAAGTATTGTAGTACCTTCTCTCTCTCCTCCCTCTGAACCCACCTCCCTTACTTCCTTCCTTCTAAGAGAAACGATGCTGGGAAGCAGCTGCTATATGCGAGACCTTCCAATTTCAAAGTTGCCGTCTACCACCACCTTCAGAACCCCGTGGTTTCACCTGGTAATTGGCGAGCAACCTTCAGGCTTCCCACGAAATTAGATCTCCTCTTCGACGTTGAATTCGTCGATAGAATTGTTCAAGGAGATAGAGAGAGAGATAGATAGATAAAGGAATCATTGGATTCACTTGTTCTCTTTCATTCTGATTAAGGTAACACCCCATGACACACGTCTTATCGGTTTTAAACATTTTTTTGTCTATTCATTATCCTGATACTTTAAAATGTTCCCAATTGATTCCCCCATTCATTTGCATCGTTAGATTATACACTAATTTATTTTAATTTCAATTGAATATAGTTTGTTTTTTGATAAGTAACTTAACGACGTATTATTTTATCAACAACCAATTAATAGATTTTAGATTTGGTAACGTTTAGATTATTACCGGTATTGCTTTAAAAATAGAGATTATATAATACCTCAAGTTTAATGATTTTTAATTAATCATTATTGTTCGATGTATAATAATTATTGGTAATATTTATTTTGAATATAATAACGTAACGTTTTAATATGCAACAATGTGTGGAAAACATTAGAGTAAATAATGATTAATTGTTATAAACGTTTGTGATTAATAGTAGTAATAGTAGTAGTAGTAAGAAAGAAGAAGGCGGACGAAATGAATTTGATTTCAGAGATCCGAACCGTGCAAGTTCTTTGACATCCGATACGGACAGTGATCTGACGAGTCCACCCTTTTGGGAATCGTACGATTCGATAAATCAGCTTTATCTGGAGGCAGGTCACGTGACCAAGTTACGTTCCCACTATAGAGGTCACAAGATGTCGCTTTGGTTGAATTTGTTACCACAGTTGCACCGGCCAGGTTACGAATTGAACATGCGTCATCATCATTTGGCGGACAGTCCGAATTTATACGAGGGTGCTGTACGCCCGCAAAGTCTGGCCCTGCCGTTGCCTGCACCACCATTGCCAATGCCATCACCTACCGAGCCCTCATCGGTTTCCCATACGACATCTACCACGGAGTGTACGCCTAACGCGACCACAACCACCATAGCTAGTACTACGAAAACATTGCAACAATCAAATTTAGGACCGGGACCTAACAATCTTTTAAGAAAATTAACCTCGAGTTATTATCAAAGTTATACAACCGCCTTAACAGTTACCATTGCCGTTGGTATATTCCTATTATTATTAAACATCATCATTTTCGCTGGTATTTATCATCAACGTGACAAGAACGCGTCCGGTACATCTGGATTATCCAGTTTTGGCGATAAGAAGAAAGAGGAGTTATTGGAGGCTGGTTGTTCAGGTATCGAGATAGGTGGTAGTGGTGTTGTTGTTGGTGGTTCTGCTAATAAACAAAGATTGTCTTCGATGAATCTGATTGATTCGCCAGGTTCGAGTCCGCAAGGACACAAAGCTAAACTCGTTCAAGAATTGGAACTTCAGCTTCAAGAATTTCAATGTTCACCACCACCCGGTGGTGGTAAAAGGATCCTCGAGCCACCGTCTTATAGTAGAAACCCGTGTGTACAAAGAACACGAACACCATCACCTTGTATAGATGCTACCATTGCTAGGATGCAAGATGACGATCACATGATCGATAGTGGTGTACTTGACAGTGACGATGACGATGACGATGACGATGATAACGAGGATTTACCGGAACCACCCCCACCCCCTAAAGCACCAGCACCAAATATCGGCCTCGCTTGTCCTGGGATTTTACGTCAACCCGGGACACCCGGTAGCGCTAAAAAACGCGTTCAAATTCAAGAGATATCAGTTTGATGATCGATTATTATGCGTTCCCTGCATTCTCAACGATCCGAGGAGAAAAAAAAATTAAATAAATAGAGAAAAAAAAAAATGATGATAACTAGATATTAAAGTTAACGGAGAAACGGAGAAGAAAAATAACGATGAAAAAATAAAAAAAATAAAAAAAAAAAAAATGAATACAATCTAGAATAAAAGTTCGATTTAATATGTACTCGACGGTGAGGAGGGAGGCTGGCTTTAAAACAAAACCAAAGAAAGAAATGAAGAAAAAGAAACTAAAAAAAAAAACCTTTGATAATAGTCTGCAGAGAGAGAGAGAGAGAAAAAAACAAAAAAAAAAAAAAAACAAAAAAAATACGAAAGTGTGTTCAGTAGTTAAATTACGTTTCGAGATGGAGAAAGAGAAGAGAGCTTAACGGTAACAATCTAAGTAAGTAATTTACAAAACAAAAAAAGGGGGGGTGGGTGGTAAAAAAAAAAAAAAGAAAAAATTGCTAAACAAAAAGGTACAGTCGAATGAACGACGACGAAAAGAATTTTTGTGTTTGTCGTACGTTGTGTGTGTGTGTGTGGCGGGGGCAGGGCAGGGGGTGCGGAGAAGGGGATAATTCTGGGACAAAGAATTCTATCGTCTCGCTAAAAAAGAAAGAAAGAAAGAAAATGATGATAACGGTTCCCGAGAGAGATTAAGTTGAACGTCGATCGTTTTGAAAGGATTTTCGTGATAGTTTTCCTTCGAAACCAATAACGCGTGAAAAACTTTCGTGTTTTCTGATATATATATATATAAGTTTTCTTCTTTTTCTTTTTCTTTTTATTCTTTTGCTACTTCTTTTTCTCTCTCTCTTTCTCTCTCGAGGGTCGCGTTATCGTGGCAGCCAATTGCTGCAACGCGTTAGGGATTGATACGGTCTCAGGAAGACAGAGAGACTACTATGCGAACATAGTTTCCTTAAATGTTCGCTCATCCGGATTTGTCATAGCACTAAGTGGAATTATTCGAGGAATTGGATACTACGAGCCTCGACATTAGGTTTGTACGATAATACAATATATTAAATATATATATATGCTAGGTTAGGTTATGTTCATTTACCATTTTGAAACTATTTCAATTTGTCTATAGAAATTTTATTCTTTAAATATATCGATAATTATTTAATATAGATCATTATTTTTATCTATATATGTATATGTTATTATTTTAAAATCAAAGAAATAATTGTAATAACAGTTTTGTAAAATTCTTTCGATATGTCATCCATTTTGAATGACGTATTCCGCCATTTTGATCTAACACGAATGAAAAAATGGCTACCAATCAAGGATATATACTTTGGATTTTTCTATAGGATAAATATTTCGTGAAAAATGTATTTAAGTGTTTTGAATTTTTGTTAAATTATTTTTCTAATTGAATTTTTCATCGATACGAATGATCGATTAATTAAATCGAGAATAAAATTTCCTGTAATAAAGGAACGTGCAATATAATGTTCAAAATGGTATATGAACTTAAATCGGGCCTCGTATATTATACGCGCGGTATGTATATATATATAAGTTACATACATGTATTGAAGAAAAATAAAATGGAGAATAATACGGGATCGTTTTTATCTGGGCGTGATTATGAATTTGTATGAATCGCGTTGATAACAGCAAACAACAATCCTTCACCAAATTCTCCAATTCACGACGTATGTATATCGTGTCAGCGAATTGTGATGATGATGATGATGATGATAATGTAGAGAGTAGTGTACACGTGTGTGATTTGTGCAATAGAAAGAAAGAAAGAGAGAGAGAGAGAGAGAGAGGGAGAGAGAGAGAAATTATAAAAAATAAAAGTTACGAAGAAGAACAAAAAAAAACGATGGAAAGTAAAATGATGTGTGTTGTGTGTGAACGTAAAAAATAAAAGAAAAATAAAATTAAATTAAAATAAAATAAAATAAAAGAAAAGAAGAAAGAAAAGGTAAAAAAGAAAGGAAGAATGCATAATAATAATAATAATAATAATAACAATATTAATAATA